AAGGCCAACAGTTCGTGCTAAATTTATTTGAGTATTTCCAGGAAGAGAATAAGAACTGCGGTCCCTTGTTACCCACTTCATACGTACATACTGGAGAGAGTAGCAGATGCGCTGAAGATTATTCTGCGCAGTGTTCAGCGAATAAAATCAGAAAATAAGTAAGGTTTGCCCTTAGTAAAACCTGGGGAAGCTCACAAAATCCAAAAATGCAAGACCGATGATGTAAGTGATGCCGTCAAAACAGAAATTAGGAATACTTTCTACGACATTATAAGTAAAGGGCAACATATCACGACCTCTGCGCTCAAGATCCGTTCATGGTACGGAGACTCGATCTGTTTACTTATTTCATATATGGCGTTGATGACGTAGCCGTCAAGAATGTTGACTACAACTATAAACAATTTTACTTCTTACATACAATCACTCATTATCACAAAGTTATTAGTGAATGCGACGAGTATTTAGCTCAAAGTTGTATGAACATTTACCAAATAATTTAAAACAATTAATTAAGCAAAACAATAAATTTAAAAAAAATAAAAAATTGATTAACACGCTTGGGATAAACAACATTGATGGAATAACCTCAAATATTACCCAGTAAATACCATTATTCTTTTCTCTCTATTCATTCTTTTTTTATCTATTGCAATTCAGCATACATATGATCCATGCATGTCCTTCATGGATAGGTTTCATCTATTGTCAGCTGTATTTTAGAGTAAATAATATAAGGGTATAAAAATATAACTTCAGAGAGGAAGAATCATCTACAAGTTTGTACGCATATCTGTTAAAACATGCTATCATCAAAAAATAATATTTTTGAGAGCAAAACAACAGTGCATACGATTTTAATGTTTTAGCGCCAGTGCTAAAATTCCGCAGTCCATGGACGCAGCTAGCAGCTTTTATTTTTGTTTTGGCGTTACTGGTGCTTGCCAGGTCGTAAATCAAGCCGGATCAAAAGCTGATTTTTTATGTAGTTGCTTCAAGCGCAGCGTAGTGAAAATCTTTGACAGGCCCATATTGATTTGGCCGGTTCTGTAATGGAAGGCCTTTAGAGCTTTTCGTCTGCTGTCATAGGGAGATTTACGCGATTCTATATCAGCCGTAGCTTACTGTGTGGACTATTATGATCTATATCCGATTTTTTGCACCAAGGAAAATATTCGTTAAAGATTATGTTATGTGCCTTAAGAAGCCGATCATGGAAATGACATATAACAGATTATATATATAGAGTTCAGCACTGCAGGCCTAATAGGCCCCTGACTTGAGTGGTAACCTGTCGCCAGCTTTTCTTGTTTACTGCCTTCTTCTTCCAATTGTTAATTCTTAAATCTTGAATATACATTTCCACTTCCTATTTCCATCTGGTTTTCGGTCTTCCTCGCCTATTTTTTCCACCAATATTGCTTGTTAGTACTCTTTTTTGTATTCTGGTTTCCGTCATCCTTTGGACATGTCCTAACCATCTCAAACTTTGAGCTTTCACTGTTCCTACTATATCAGGTTCACCATAAAGCAGTTCTTTGTTCGATCTCCGCACCCATCTACCGCACTCCCGCTTCCCACCGAATATCTTGCGTAAGATTTTTTCTATTCCAAATAGCGATTTTGTTCTGTTCTGCTTTATTTAATGTCCATACTTCACTGCCATAGATGACAATAGATCTTAAAATAGTTTTATACAACCTTAGTTTAGCCTTTCTGGACACGATTTTACTCTTCAGTAGTCGATTCAGTGAGTAAACACACCGGTTACCAATCATCAGCCTATTCTGAATTTCGTCCGCAATATCTGGTCTTCTTTTAAAAACAGTTCCTAAATACGCGTACGTTTCTACCTCTTCAAATTGGTAAGTTTTGCCACTGGCTGCTTTTACTGTTAGCCTCTCATTTTTAAACTCTTCCTCTGTCCATTTCATATACTTAGTTTTTTCTTCGTTAATATCTAAACCCATTGACAGTGCTTTGTCTTCCAGCCTCTTCGTCAATTTGCATAATTCCTCCTTACTTCTGGTTATGATCACTAAATCGTCAGCGAATGCTAAGCATTGGTGTTTCTTATGATAAAGTAATCCTTCTCTATTTATTTTCATATCTCTTATAATCTTTTCAAGCCATAGGCAGAACAGAACTGATGAAAGTGCATCTCCTTGTCTGGCTCCCTCTCTGATGACAAAAGAATCGGATAATTCGTTGTTGATTTTGACTTTATGCCTTCTTCATTAATATCGTTATCAGTCTAATAAGTTTTTCTTCGATTCCCATTAATCTTAAAGCCTCGATCATTTTCTTCCGATTTACCTTATCGTATGCTTGTTTGAAGTCAACGAATAATGCAAACGTCGGCTTCAAGTGCCCGTAGCTTTCTGCGTGTATTTCTCGTATAAAGATTTGGTCTATTGTGCTTCTTCCGCGTCTAAATCCGGTCTGATGATTTCCATACTTTCTCTCAGTAGATTCTTCATGTGCGATGTTAATATTTTATAGACAATATCCACAACAGATTAACAATTACTAAATACAGACGGACGAATATGTGTATTTACCTCAACGAATCCAGACTAGGTAGAAAAGCGTAGGTCAAGGATTTGTTTGTCTCCTTATTCTCATAGTCTGTACTGAGGATCAAAATGCACTTGACATGAGTCAAATTTTTGGCAGTTCTGTCATTAAATTCTTATAATTAGAATTATTTTATAAAAGTGGGAGTGTTTGCAGAATAATGGTATTAGACGATTTCAAGACATGGCACTTCTTACATAATGAAGTTATGTAGATGATTCTTCAGCTAAGTATTCTTATTATGTTGATACAACGCCTTCACTTTGGTAGGTATTGGTAGACAAATGAGTCAAAAGTGTGCATTAAAACTAAGCAAATTCGGCGACAAACAATGCAATGTAAGCATATAGGCTTGATTCCTCCTAATCTTTTCGAATCCGTTGATTTACTTAGTCACGATGTCGTCTCGTGGCATATAGATAGATATAACGGGGGATATTCGCTATGCCCGGGTCTCCCATACTGTATGCAGCAGTTGAACGTTTAATACAAAAACTTCTTGGAAAGTTACCACGAGCGAATTATTAACACCCATATTCCGCTTTTAGTTGTATTAACCCAAACTTAAATCTAAAACTCAAACACTGCCGAGTCTCAGTATCATGTTTGGATTTCATAAATATTTATATTATATGTATATAAGAGCTTTATTATAAAACGTTGGAATTTTATGCACCCTATAAAGTTAGCTCATTTAGTATGTATATAAGCTGAGACATATTTTATTTTTCCTTTGGAGTGATTTTTAATTAACTGAAACAAGTCTAAAGAAATGGAGATAATTAAAACCTGAGTTAATAAATGCAGATGCAGTGACACAAAACATGGTTGTCTGCACGGATTCGAGTTAAAGCATAGCATATACAATACAGGGTGGGAAATCTAGAGCTTGAAACTTGAGGGTGCGATTATGTTGAAACCGCATGCTAAAATCTCAATTTATAATTTTAAAAATTGCTTTTGTATAACGAATTTCCAAGAAAAATAACCTCCCACGAATATTCCATCAAGTTTAAATATCAGTCTAATCATATTAGACGAAAATACCCATGGTTTGCGAAATAATTGTAAAGTCTGGTTTTATCGCTGCAAGTTGTTCCAGGGGGTATTCAAAACATGGACGCATAAAATGGGTACACCAATTTTTGTAAGAAAGCTTTTTATTCGACAACAAAGGATGAGATAACGTTTTTCTTTTGGGATTCAATGGAAAGTGTTGACAGGAACAAAAAAACTCTTTATATGTATAAGAATTTTAGTTATTTATGAGACCTGCAAAAGTAGACGACACGTGAAAAGATCCGACTAATAGCAAAAGAGTTATGGCCGAAAACAGAGGCAAATTGCAGGTTTTGGCACTTGTAGGTAACGCGTCGATGGTTTCTCGCAGATATTTGAAATTCTAAATAACGACAACAAAATTGGACTAGACTGCTTCTTTGAGAATTTCTAATTGCTTATCCCAGAATACCTGTTTTCCAGCCATCACTACTAGTTTATTGAGCAATATACAACGTTAGTTCAGAGGGCATTTTATAGCAAAATACACTAGTTTATCTTGCCGATATGAATCGCATACCATTCCGGGAAATAAATGTTATTTTTATGCAAAAAAAGGTTTACGTTTTTTCTTCTAAACAAATTCGAACATTTCGTATTTGTGAGTAATTCGCAACAAAAGATGATAGACACATCCGCTTTGTTTAAAATGTGTATAGTAACGTATGTTTTTCGAATACGAAATGTTTGAATTTGTTTAGGAAAAAAAACGTAATCTTTGTTTTTCGTATAAAAATAACATTTATCTTTTGGAATGGTTTGTGATTCATACCGGCGAGGTAAGCACGTGTAATTTGCTATTAAATGCTCTTTGAACGAGCCCTGTATATTGCTCAATAAACTAGTAGTGATGGCCCGAAAACAGGTGTTTTGGGATAAACAATTTGAAATTCTCAAAAACTACTTGACCAATATACTTCAATTCTGTTATTGATATTTAGAAGTACAAATCCTACGGATTTGAAGAATTTCAAATATCTGCGAGAAACCATCGTCGCATTACCATCAAGTGCCAAAACCTGCAATTACCCTTGGTTTTCGGTCAACTCGTTTGCTATTAGTCGGATCTTTTCACGTGTGATCTCATTTTGTAGGTCTCATAAATACATAAAAATCTTATAAAGAAAGTTTTTTCGTTCCTGTCAACATTTTCGATCGAATCCCAAAAAACACGTTTTCTCATTTTTTGTTGTCGAATAAAAAGTTTTCCCACAAAGATTTTTGTACCCATTTCATGCGTCCATGTTTTGAATACCCCCTTGAACAACTTGCACCAATAAACCAGACTTATTCCGAAGAAATTTGCTAATATGATTAGACTGTATATGCAGTCTTAAGCTCTAAGTAATACGAAATATACTTACATTCTTGCTTAAATGTGAAGTATTCTGTTAAATGTCGACACTCATGGTTGCCACGAAGTAGAAAAAGGGTTGTAGGGTAACACAGCTTTAACGCCCACAGGTACAACACGCACTGTCAACAGAAGAGAAGGAAACTGTCAGATTTTGTATGGTTATAACCTATAACAAACAATGATGCGAGCTACTTTTCTAACATGCATTATCGAAAAATCATTGACTTATTACTTGTCATAAAACTTGCTTTGTCCTAATCACACCCTGTTCAAAAATTCCCAGTACTCTTACATAACATATTTTCTCATGTAAAACGTACTGGTTACTTAAGGGATCTACCGACACGCTCTTTGAGTGACCCAAAAATTCGCAATTACGTAAAATAGGCTTAGAAACAGAAAACATATCCTTCATTCTCAGAAAATGTGTTCCAGAATTTGATACAACTATCAGTTTGAAGATCGCTACGCATCATTCAATAGGTTTAAAGTAAGATATTACCTTGAAAATTTTTTCTGAGCTATAGTCCTTACCATGAATTTTTGCGTGTCTTCAAATAGATGAATCCTCCCTTATAACATGGTAACAAGGAGAGGTATTTGGGGATTCTAACTCTCCAATTTTTAACACGCTTTCATTTTCTTGACCAGTATGAAACAGAATCCTTCAACCTAACTTTCACCAATTTCAAGAAGTCTGATTAACGTCAAAGTTTCAATACAATAATGTTGAAAAAAATTCTAATTTGATTTTTTTTAAATTTGAATATACAAATTAGAAAAAGAATGGATTTTAGAATTTGGGGAATGATTGGAAAATTCGGAACATAATTTGAAGATTTGTAAATTTTGAAAAAAAATGTGAATTTTGAAATAATTTTGTAAATTTCGTAACTGGAAAAATTTGGTCGTAAATTTAGATTTTACACATAAATATACCAAAAATATAAAATTCTGAATATAAGCACTTTGGATCTCATTTTGAGATTAAAAACTCAGAAAATCAATCTGAGTTTGAAAAACTAAAAAACACGCTTTAATAGCAAATCGAGCCAAAAAGTAGAGAATAATTTTCAAATATATGAGAGTTTCTGGCACTGCAATAAAAAGTCCAACAATCAAGTATAACTGATTAATTTGGAATAGGAACAATACAAGAAATAATATACCAAAAAACTCAATTACAGTAACAAATCGTGTGGTGCAATTAATTATAATTTCATGTTAACTCAAATTTTGTAAATAGCAACTAAAAAAATGATTCTAACATTTAATATCAAGCATACCACGTTTTTTTACTAAGAGAAAATTTTGTTGTTATTATTTTAATTTTTATATTGATTTTATACCAAATTAAGTCAGTCATAGTTGATTGACCTTCTATTACAGTTGAACTCTCTTATACTTGAAAATTGTTTTCTAATTTTTAGTTCGATTTGCTATTAAAGCGTGCTTTCTAAAGAATACGCTTTTCTAGGAATATATATATTTAATAAGTCAATAGATGTTGGGTGATTTAGTTTTCTTCATACCAACCGATGTTACAGAAATAGAAAAAAAATGGTGAGAGTGTTAAGTATATCACATATGGTTAAAGAAGGTGGATGCGTACATCATTACATAATAGTTTTTAGTGCTCTTATTTTGCTGCTTGGTTACTGTCTTCGTTATTCCGACTTTACAATCCTTCGCTCTCCGTTACGGGATACTATTTCGTCGCGCATTTCATTATTCAATGATGTTGTCGAAATTTGTAAATTTGGAAAGGTTCTATAAAAATAACTTCAAGTTATAAATACATGGTTAATATGCAATATAAATATGAATTTTACATCATAGATAAAGATAAATGCAGGAAATAGGCAGTGGTCCAAATTGATTAAATTGACCCGATTTTTGTTGTGTTAGTAATGAGGTAAGGTAGCTTTTTATTGTAAATCCGACAGACTTGTGGTCACTTGTCCTTCTGTGTTTCTGTCATTCTAAGCCTATACGTTTCCGGTTTGAAATAATCAACACGCATATAACCAAAACTTTTGGTGTAACCTCAACGTCAATGCAATATGCAACCTCTCACGATTGTCAGTTGTCAGCACTGTCACTGCGGAAACATTTTCCGACCTCCCTTATTTCCAATTCTTGTCGAAAGTAACCTAACAAGGCCTAACAATCAGTTATTTTTGTTGTACTAAACACTCTCTAACAGCATGATGAAGGATTTTTGTTCACAAATGGGAATAAATGATGCCCTATACAACAATTCACTGTTTCACAATTAAGGTACTCACCTCTATACTAAAATATCCTCTATCAACATAATCACCAAGAAAAAGGTACTTTGTACTGGCAGGCGGTCCGCCCACCTCGAATAATTTCATAAGGTCATAAAATTGACCGTGTATATCTCCACAAACTGAAACAAAGAAAAACATATGTTAGAATTATCAATATAAATTACCCACAAGAGATCAAGTATAATAATCCATGGAGACACATACAAGATACAGGGTGTTCCTTAATGATATGCGAATATTTAAGGATGTGAATCTACATAAAAAATTAATGTTAGTTTGCTTTATAAACTATGGTCAAAAAACGTTTCCTTACAAAAACTCGGGGTGTTGAAGTTTTTGGAAAAAAATGGAAATTAATTAATATTTTCAGAATCGCTTCAGATATTTCACTGATATTCAGTACGTAGTGAAAGTAAATAAAGTTGCATATTTTTCAATGCAAAAATAATTTTTAGCTTTAACAGTGGCGTGTGTAAGGGTATTGACTTCGATATTTTTTAAGAAAAAAATATTACGCCAATGGTTTTTTGCCAAATTAAAATTATTTTTGAATTCCCCCTTCAATTCAAAACAAATGATCTCTCTTGAGTTGTTTACTTTCGACGCGCCATTTTTGAGTAAAAAAATAAAAACCGTTCTATTGTCTAACTTGCAAAATTATTATTAACTTAATTGGAAAAATTAAACACATTAGGGGTAACGAACAACAATAACTGACAACATAAACATAATATTAAAACCAACGAAATAATTACAAAGATTATTGAATGGAATTGCGCATTTGTTGAAATATCGCTGGAGTATTTTTTATTCTATCACAAGCTGCAACTATTCTTTCTCTTAATTCCTCTACAGTGTAAATGGGACTTGTGTACACTAGTGTCTTAAGATAGCCCCACAAAAAGAAGTCTAAACTGTTGATGTCTGGGGACCTTGGTGGCCATTCTTGGGGCCCACCGCGACCAATCCAATGATTTGGATAAACAGTTTGTAAATAATTACGAACCGCTACTCTGGAATGCGCTTGTGCACGATCATGCATGTACCATATATTGTTTCTTAATGCTAACAGAACATCATCAAGCAGCAAAGGCAACTGTTGTTGAAGAAAATTGAGGTATGTCTGTCCGTCAAGTCGTCCCGGCAAGAAGAATGGGCCAATAAAGTGGTTGCCAATAATTCCTGCCCATAAGTTAACCGAAAATTGGTGTTGGAAATGGGTTTCGGTTACAGCATAGGGATTTTCTTCTGCCCACAAATGATTATTGTAGAAATTCTGAATGGCATTTCGAGAAAAATTAGCTTCGTCTGTGAACAGAATCATTGATCCAAATTGCGGATTTTGTGTAATTTTTTGAAGGTACCACTAACAAAAGGTCACACGCCTTGGAAAATCAATCGGAAGTAATGCCTGTACTCTTAAAATATGGTGATAAGGCAAATATTAAAGTGTCTAGCGATCTTCCTCGTACTCGTTTCAGGATGTTCTTCGACTTCGTGCAGCACTGCTTCCTCAATTTCAGGTGTTCGCACACTTAGAGGTCTACCTTCAGATGTTCCTTTTCAGACAGAACCAGTTTCAACAAGACAACGATGAATATTAGAAAAGGTTCGACTATCGGGCAAAGCACGATCGGGATATCTCTGGTGATAAATCTGTATGGCTTGCTCACCATTACTGTCGGCAATGCTATATACGTAATGCATTTCCCCCATTTCTGCATTTGAATAATTCACCATTAAAAACGAGATTGTAAAAACTAAATAATGAAAAAGATGTCACAGTGAACATATTTGAATAACAGAGATTTGTCGGATGTCAAAAGCCAGTGACATATTCCAGAGCAGCTAGATATTTATTGCTAAATTGCATTCTTCAATTATTATATTAATTTTCTCCGACAATAGAACGGTTTTCATTTTTTTACTCAAAAAACAATTCAAGAGAGATCATTCGTTTTAAATTGTACGGAGAATGCAAAAATAATTTTTATTTGGCAAAAAACCATTGACGCATTTCTTTCTTAAAAAATATCGAAGTCAAAACCCGTACGCACGCCACTGTTAAAACTAAAAGTTATTTTTGCATTGAAAAATATGCAACTTTATTAACTTTCACTTCGTACTAAATATCAGTGAAATACCTGAAGCAGTTCTGAAAATATTAATTAATTTCCATTTTTTTACTGAAACTTCAACAGGAAGTACGGAAACATTTTTGGACCATAGTTTATAAACCAAACTAACATTAATTTATCATGTAGATTCACACCCTTAAATATTCGCATATCATTAAGGAACACCCAGTATATTTGCTAAACATTATTGTACGTACAGTCTGCGAAAATCTAAAGTTCGCCATTTGTTAGCTCCCCAATCAGAGTTATGAAATGCTTTTAAATAAACTAATCCTAAAACACGGTCCTCGGAATACTTGAACCAAGTTTATATGCACTGAAAATTACCATGGACATATTTCCTGCTATTTGGCAACAGTACAACATGCTTGGGGTCGGTTGACAACGGCCGAAAGCTAAGTGTACAAGGTCTATTGAAATAAAACAGCACAAGTGCCATTTATTACCAGAATCGACCACTGTGAAAGTGAAAAAAGCAAAGCTGTCTGTCGGAACTGAATGAACATTTCGCATTGTCTTCAATGACAAAAAGACCGTTATCTAGTATAGTAGCACCAGTATCGGCGGCCCCTAGTGGCCACCGTAGTGATCCGGCTGACAATGCAAACTGACATGCAGTTCCAACTAACAGCTTACTTACAGTGGTCGATTCTGGTAATAGATGGTACTTTGTGCCTTATAACATCAACTTCAGAGAAAGCCTTTTGTTCACAATGCCTCGAAAAACCTGAAAATATCTTTTCAGAATCGTTGTTTTATTAATTTAATTTTCGAAATGCTTCTTTGTAATGACCCATTTTAAAGAAAACATACTTCACTTGTTGGATCCTGAATTATCATGTAATCATTTTTGTTTTCATATTCCTGTGTATTTTCTTAGTGATTTTTTACTGTATTATTAACTTTATTGCCATATTTAAAATTTTTAATTTTTAAATATATCTTTTTCACACTTTTTGTAGCTCTGGGGTAGGCGTAAAATAAACGTCGAAACGTTGGCAAGCTGATTAAATATATTTTTGACACCTATTGATTTATCCCAAGAACCTGAAGAAATTGAAAGCACGTGGACTAAGAACCTACTTAGCCGTGACCAGACAGATTTCTGCTCTTGAGCTGCAGAGAGGAAGCAGTCACGACTTTGTTTCTGACGAGAGATCTGGAGGTTATCATTGTTTGGGGATGCAATGATTTGACGCAGTTAAACGCTTCTCTGACATAGTATTTCACCAAGAAACGTTAAAGCATTCATGAGTTAATGTATGGTTGAACTATTCGAGGAAACCATTCGTTAAAACCTAGCCTAGAGTACTCTTCATATCTCTTGAGTGAGCCACTATCAAATCGGGGGAAGTATTGGTAATAGAAAGAGTAACGCTGCAAGACCCTCCAAATGACTGAATACGCTTACTCCGCAAGCGTATAACTTAATTTACTACATATGTATATAGATATCAGCATAACCCTGATATTCTTATATTCTCATGAGTGAATTAGCAACTCCTTTGTCTAGAAAATGCACGTATACCATGTAGTTTACATCACAGGTTGGTATGTTTGGTGCATTAAATGAAAAAACATTTATTTTTGTTCTGTACTTGCGCGATCTTTAGCTCGTGAAATTATTACTTCAACAGAAATATTTTATTGAAAGCATTTTGGTTTCTGTGAATGTTCAAACCTCAGTTAGCGAGTTGTCAACATTCATGAAATGATTATGATTACCGTACCACTATTGAAACTAGGCACTGATTACACTTACTCCGTGAAAATTTATGGAAACCTATTGCCAAATGTTTGTTTTACATTTCGCCGAGTTTGCACCTGAGCATAGAAAGAATTGGCATATATACGATAGTTTACGGCTGGCTCCTTCTAAATCATTTCCAACCGCAATCCAGGGCAGGACTTGCATGAAAATCTAAAACTGCTTGTCAAATATATTTGTCAAAAGAGAACGACAATATCATTCTTTGAGGCACTTTTGATTTGATTTTTTTATAACAAAGCAGCTGTTTGCGCAGAAACCTAAATATCATGTCACCACGGCTACTAGGAGGAGAAATATGTTAATCTGATTTTTGAACCGCCTAGCGTTAGATCTGGAAAAAGCCTAGATCATAATCTTGATACCCTAGGCACAACGGAGCGGTCGTATCGGACAGTTCTGGATATATGAAGTAAAGTAGAAGAAGTAAACAGTTGCTGCTACTCTTCTTGTCTTCAGCTCACCGGTACAGATCTGCTTGTCACTCTGAAATCCTTCATGCTTAGTGATGTCATCAGCAAAGTTATTGATCGGGTGGATCGTACAGGAAAGGACATCATTGATACGTAAGAGGAACAATGTCGGAGCCAATACTGATCCTAAAGGAGTACCCTCGTTAACATTGTGGGATGAAGATCTGCAAAACTTCTCTGGGAGACCATAGGCTGGAAGCATAAAGAAAGATGAACATATCATCCACCAAAAACCTGATGATAGAAGATGCTTATCTTGTAAGGTCACAGGTAACGCTATTTTCAACAAAAATGTCAGTCCGAAGTTGTAACAAAATAATATTTCCCTGAAATAAATGAATGTCCTTTTCCTTTCTGAACCTATAAGGATTCCCCTATTATGGAACCTTGTGCCTTCGTACAAATAATACCTTATATGGCTTCTCTTGTGTAATTAATCTAGACATCCTATATAGGAAGTCCATCAAAAAAGTATCTACACTGCTGCTCACAAGTAGAGGAACTGCAGCACATTTAAAATACTGGAACGTATTTTGGAAATAAATTGCAAGATAAACGGGATAGCAAAATAAAAAATGCATTATTGGGAAATTGTTAAATTTTAACGATATAATCAAATAAACAAAAGAAAAACAGGAACACCATTAAAATATTTCTCAAATTAAAAAAAAACTCCAAAAGCGTAAATTTACTTAGGGTGCAGGTAATTGGGAATATAGTATACCAAATTATAATCACCTTTGTTTG